TTTTGGTGCCGGGTCCTTGAGCTTGCAAGGCAGGCCACCGAACCACTGAGCTAAATCCCTGGCCCTCTTAGTAATAATTTTAACCAGAGACATGAAAGATTTGTACATTGAAAACTGTATGGCACTATTTAAAGAAAGTATACAGGCCACAACTGTTCATGAATTGGAAGGTTTAATATTGTAAAAATTTCCATATTTCCCCAGTCCATCAAAATTGCAATGGTATTTCTCATGGATATAGGAAAAAATAATCCTAGAACTCATGGAATCACATAAAACTCCAAATACCTAAGGCATTCCATGAGCAAATGAACAAAGCTAGAGGCTTCATGCTACCAGATTCCAAACTATACTATGACATAATACTAAATAAAACAGCATGGTAAGACATAATAGTTAAAACAACATGGTACTGGCATAAAAATAGACTTCTCAACCAATGAAACAAAATGGCCTGGAAAAGAACCCACATCTTTACATGAGTTGATTTTTTAATATACACTGCTAAAAGATAGTCTATTCACTGAACAAGCTCAGGAAACTGGATCTCCAAATTAAAAAATGAAATCAAACCCTCATGTCACATCACATCCAAAATCAATTCCAAATAGGCTAAAGACTTAAACATAAAACTCAAAACCATACATCTATTAGAAAAAAAAAAACAGAGGAAAAGCTACATTCATATAGGCAATTATGTTTTTATTTGACCTAAAAAATATAGCCACCCCCCCAAAATGTAAATGCATGGCATTGCCTCCAAATTAAACCCTCTGCACATCAAGGAAGCAAAGGGAAGAGATAGCCAGTTGAGGAGAAGAAAATATTTGCAAGTCATATATCTGACAAGGGATTACTATCCAAAATATATAAATAGCTGCAACTTAAAACCACAATGAGATATTACTTCATATTTACTGTATGAGTATTGACAGACAAAAGAAGTGCTGGTTAGAATGAGAACAGGGAATGTTTATAGTATTGTTGGGGGGAATGTAAGTTACAACAGCTGTGAAGAAAATCATGCTAGAGGTTGTCAAAACTAAAATTCAACTACTATCTTACCCAGAAACCCCTTTGTTGTTATTTACCCAAAAGACTTGAAATCAACATATTGAAGGAGTATCTGCATTTTTACATGCCCTGCAACACTACTCATAATGACTAAAGGGTGGAACAAAATTAAGTGTCCATTAAAGGATAAATGAAGAAATTTTGTGCAAAATTTGTGCAATTTGTACAAGAAAATTTATACAAGATTGAACAGTATTTGGCCTTTTAATAAGAAAAATATTATTTGTGATAATGGGTGGATTTAGAGAACATTAAGCTAAGTAATATAAACCAAATACAAAATGACAGATGCTGTATTTTTCTCACTTGTAGTTGGAGTCTAAAACAATTTATCTCATGAAATCAGATAGAAGGATGGTGGTTACCAGAGGCTAGAAATTGGAAGGAATGGAGAAAGGGGATGACCCTCAGAGAGGAGTTCTGTCTGATAATGTTTTTGGAATCAAATGCACAGTATGGTGAATATAGCTAATAGCGAAGCTCTGCCTACATCGTTGCAGAAAGTATCTAATATATTCATCACAAGAAAATATAAATATTTCAAGAGATAGCTAGCTAATTAGTTTGGTTTAGTATTTTGCCATGGCCTGCACAACTCAAGGGTCCAGGGAGTGAGAATTGATGGTGGGAGATTAAGAAAAGACGGAGAGAAATATGGTGGGGTCAGTTGGGGCTCTAACTCCCGATGGGAGAAAAGACCCCAGGCAAATGCAGCAAGGTTTATTTATAGTGGTAGAGATAAGGGAAATGCAGGGGAAGGTAAAAGAGGTTGGTCTACAGCTGGAGCCAGGAAAGTAGCTAAGTAAAGTCTGCAGGACATCAAACTTGGTTTCCCAAAGAATGGGTGGGGAGGAAGACAGTGCTCTTCTGGCCAGACCTTGCTCCACGTCGCCTCCTTGTGGCCTGTTCTCCTCCTGCAGGGCCCTGCCTCCTCTAAGGCAGCAGGTGAGTGAGCCCTGGTCATAGTGGTCTGCAGCACCATAGTCCCAGCAGTATTTCCACTGTGTTTTCAAAAATCATGCCATCACTTTGTATACTCTCAGTATGTAATAAAATTTTAAAAATTAAAAAATACTACCAAGAACCAATGCTATCTTAACTGTATCTTAGAATATGTGAAGGAATAGGCTAATCAAGTGAGAGATGAGAAGTTTCTGGCAGAGAGAACAGCATAAGAAAAGGTCCAGAGATGAGTTACAGTGTGGTTTGTACAGAGCAAAGCCAGCTGTTAAGCTCAATGTTCATATAAGCAAATATATGAGATGAAAATAAGACAAATTTAAGCGCTATACCATTACCATCTTGCTTAAATGATAAAGCTTTGTCTACTCTCTTCAAATAAACTGATGATATCTGAAGAAAGTGAGCATTTTTCAGTCTCAGTTTACTTTCTTCCCTATCTCCATTAACCAAGAGATTATAATAATCCCTAAGTCAGACCAATATTCTCTGGTTGATGTTTAGGAGCTAGACTTGAATTATGTTGTGATACTTACCTTCCCATCCCCTTGCCCCAAACCTCTGGATCTTAGAGAAATTGCCTTGTAAATCGCTTAGTTGCTGTCTTCATGGCTACATATTTGACAACATAGTTGAGATTATATATATGTGAAACATCTTCATCCCCAGGCAGCAGACTATCCCAGCAGCCTTTTCTGCTTTGCCTGGGATTCCATGAAAGCAGACGACATCTAGACTTAATCTCTTATGGCCTTAGATCAGGGCCAGTCTCATGGTCACCAGTACTGATATGGTCACCTGGTGTCAATACGAACTTATCACCCTAAAGTGGATTCCTAGAGATCCGGATCTCAGGTGCCATCACCATGATTAAGGCCATTCAATTTTCCTTCTTGCTTTCTTTGTTCTAACTTTCTGTTTAATGTCCCTAGCATATCTTTCTTGCCTCAGGGATTTTAATATGAGTTCTTCTTCTCCCCATGACTAATTTCCTCCTTCTGTGGCACTATGGCATTATCATATCACAGTGTTTGGTTCTCTTAGCCACTTCTAGTCTGCACTTACCTTCTGCCTCATAAACTGAAATATTCACTTCCGTAGTTCTCTGGCTAGTCTAGTGCCAGGCACAGAGCTGGTATATGATAAATATTAAATAAGTAAATGCTTACATGACTTTAAAAAGTAATGTCTCTTTTCAATGGCTTAGTAATTTTTCAAAGACAAAGCAGAATTAACAAGTCAGAAATATAAAGACATCAAATTTTAGTTGGTGTGTCTGAATTATTAATTTTAACCATTCAATATAAATATATAATTTTTGAAGTAATAAACCAGAACTCCATTTTATTAACTCACTAACTAAAAGTTGCTAAACATTGCCTTGACATTTAACAGTATATAACTATCAAGTTATAGTTGACTTTATCTTGACATTGAAGTTTTTCTAATTGAGTACCCTGATTAGCTTCTCAATATTAACTATTACATTATTAGTCTTCTCTTTTACTCAAAAGTGGAACTTGATCAAGTAATCATAAATTTTGTAAGTGAAATTTGTTGTAAGAATATGTAAAAAAATTAAATATCCAGAAGAAAGTTAAATAATTGCATATGACCTTAATGAAACATTATTTAGCAATCTATAGTGCATAATATAAATACTATCCAGCTGTAGAGAAAGAGCTTGAAATATAATGTGAACTGAAAATAACAGAACACAATTATGGAAACATATAGCTATGGAGTTGCAGATGAAAAGACAATATGTAAGTAAGAAGATGATATGTGAATTTTGAGAGGACTCAGTATGTCTTAAATGCAAATTTTGGGAGAATATGTGTATATTGGATATCAATTACTATAATATACAGAGGTATGAAAGGTTTATTGAAATATAAACTATTTAGATTAACAGAGCAAATTATTGTATGCCTTGTTTATTGCCACTGACAATGAAAGCCTGTTTGTTATTGAAAATATTTTGCTTGTATTATGATTCTAGAAGAAGCCCCAGGTCAATTTATGTTACATTACATAGGGACACATTTGTTTGATGGGCAGTCCATATTAGAAACACACAATTAGAGATAACAAAGTGAAAACACCCAAATTGCAGTTTTCTAACAGGTGAAATGTTTTCAACTAACTTGTTTCTTTCAGTTATTTTTTTTTTTTATGTGACTGTTCTGTTTTTACAGCTGACATGCTAAGGACTCTGTGTTTTTCCCATGTAACATCATTTGTAAGCCTTTATTTCCTAATTCATGGTGATCATTTTAATTACTGCATAAAGAAGGCATTCTTAGAGGAAAATGTAATTACTCTTGAATTCTTAAAATGCAGGAACAAAGGAGTAATTTTTCCTGAACTTCCTTTGTCTGCAGATTGTGTACTTTATGACTTTGCACACGAGACTGTCATCACCTGATAACGTTTCCATTTGAGTAGTAACATGATAACACAAAGTGCAAGAGGAACTAGGCTTTAGATGACAATCACATCATTTAATATCTGCTTATTGTTTCTACAGGGGAATTCTGGCCTGGGATTCAGTATTGCTGGGGGAACAGATAATCCCCACATTGGAGATGACCCTGGCATATTTATTACAAAGATTATACCAGGAGGTGCTGCAGCAGAGGATGGCAGACTCAGGTAAAGATCTGAAACATTGGAATTATTTGGCAAACTGATCTGCTGTGTCAATGAGATACATTTGTATCTTTCAAAAATAATAGTTATGCAAAACTTCTGAGTTTGAAGGAGAAGGTTGTCAAAGCAAGTATTCTCTATCGACTTTGCAGATCTCTTGCTATTTACTGAATTTCAACTAGTATTCAATTTATGTTTGTTGACAGCTCCCAAATGTGACATTGGAAAAGGAATTTTGAGGAGGGGATACGGACATATCTCTTGTTCTTGTGGGACCTTCAGTCTTCTTTGGAAGAATAATTATATGAATTAAAGAACACATATTAAATATAGAAACAATACCCTTGTGTTAGTCAGCTGAGACAAAATATCTGACACCCAAAGTTAAAAGGGAAAAGGTTTGCTTGGCTGACAGTTTGTAGAGGTTTCAGCCCATAATTGGCTGGCTCCAAAGAAGAGTCAAACATAGCAGAAGGGCATCACAGAGAAGAAGCAGTTCATGGCACCCACACAATAGCAAAGGCAACAAGGGAAATTTAACACCCTTTTTCTGCCCCTCTTATCTTATCCAGATTACCAGGATTAGGGCAGTACCAAGCCAATCAGTGTACCGGTTTAGTAATCACACTCCTTTAATCCCAACATCACACACTGTGGATTCAGCCACCTCTGAAAAATTCACCTATGCCTGCACAAGGCTTTGTGGGCACACCTAGACCTAAACCATAACACTATAAGGAGTAATTTGAGACCTTGTTTCAAAAAACTAAAAAAAAAACAAAAAAAACAAAAAAAACAAAAACAAAAAACAACTACATGGTCATGGTGAGTTTAAGTGTGTGGAGCAGAACCAGATACTGCTTGATAACACAGTAACATCTGCTTGAGCCATTCTCCTCTCTCTAAAAACACCTAGAGAAATTTGGGAAAATAAGAATCACTCCCATGAGCCAGTTAGTAAATAATATAAAATGCTATCAAAGGTTTAAAACATTAGCTGAAAGGCTCAAAAACTTGGGGTTCAAAAATTATCAGAGATCCCTTAGGGAGAGTGATATATATCTAATGCCATTTTAACACTCCCGCTGGATTTAAAATATCATTAGACCAAGGAGATACATCTATATGTGGAGACCTATGGCTCAATAAAGTTTTGCCCAGTGGATGAGTTTGAATGAATATAAATAAGAAGAGAAAGGAAAGGAGGATACATTTACAGGGGCATAGGTAAGATATGTTAAAGAAGCTACTCTCGTGACACTCAGTAAAGACTGTAAGCAAGACCTTCTTCAGGAAGGAGTACTACACAGGAGAGTGTGCAGTAGGGGAAAGAGAGTGCATAACTCTTAAGAGTAAGAACAAGTAGGCACGGATAGCCAAGTGAAGGGGTTAGGGTCAGTGGGCAGAGAATTACTAGGAGAAAATATCAAGAATAAATGGGAAGGCCGGGGATTTAGCACAGTGGTTCTGCCACCTGCTTCACAAGAGCAAGGTCTTGAGTTCGATCCCCGATATAAAAAAACAAAACAAAACAAAAAAGAATAAATGGGATTGTAACTAAAAGGACTTGATAAGATTCTGATTGAAGACAAGCCATGGTGATGAGACACTGAGGGTGGAGTGTGAGGAAATTGATCAGATACCAATGGTAGTATGAGGACTGTACCTAAACAGACTCAGCAGGGTTCTTAAAACTGCTTAAAGAGCCTATTTAGTGCTCTAACTGCACTAACAGTGCTTAATGTTTGAGGCCCTAGTGGAGAAGAGGGCTCAGAAAAATGGAAGTCCTTGTGGTCAAGAGGTGGCCGTGTCAGAGAACACGACCAAATCCCGTAAGTTACAATGACTTGAGCTTTTCTGGAGTTGCATTGAGGAGTGTGACCCAAGTGACAGAAATGTAGACTGCACAGCCCTGCTTTACTCTGTGTTTTCATAAAGCAAGAATAATCTAGTTTGGCGTTTTTCCTAGGAAGCACTCACAGGCACTCATTCTCGATCCACTTGTGATACACTGATTATTGTTAGGAGTTGTACATTTGCAGCTCACTGAGGAGAGTCACGTTGGGTTTTCCAGGTACATGTGTGTATCTCCTGTCAATAAGAAAAGACACCCATGCTATTTGGAAATGCAAGTTCCAAATAGTCAGAAAGGGGAGTATATTCGCTAATGCCAAACCATTTTTATAGAAATTCCACTTTTAAAGTTTAGAAATCAACTTGTTACAGTATAATTCAGAAATGGATGGAATATGGTCATCATTTCAAGCCACTCTCTTTACCTGCATACAGAGGATTCTCCATCCCTTAACAAATGCTGGCTTAGGTTCAGGATAGAAGAGATTTGACATTACATGCTTCTTCTACAATTAAAAAAAATAACATCTCTGAGAATGTCACCAATCTTTTTTGCAAACATGGATGGACAATCTCATGTCTGTAAAGACAAAAGAAACTTCTGCTGTCCTGGATGTTTCATTTGAGAGTTGTAAAGACAATAGTCATCAGATTATTGTAACATTGATTAAGCTTTTATTATAGGGGACGTTATGAATTTTCCACATAGTCACAATTTCCTATACTCTGACTTTATTCTGACTTCAGTTCTGTTTCCTGGATATGATACCACCTGCTAGGGTTGTACAACTAAAATTCTTGCAAATTTCTTTACAATGGCCCTAACTGAAGCAATAAAATACACCTACTTTCCATTCCACATTATAACTTTTTGGCTATGTGAGAGCAGCTGTTGAATCTTTACTTTATTTTGACAGATCCTTGATAGTACTGCTAAGACTCCCCCCCTCGTTACGGTTTTCTGCCATGTACTTGAATGGCTTAGGGACATCTAACTGTTCAAGAATAACTTTTAGTTGAAAATTTGGCATCTCACAACATCAAGTACAGATTTTAAGAACTTGGTAGTTGATCTAGCCCATATTCAATGATACAGAGGAAATACTGAGTCTCAGAAGAATGATACCCTGAGGCATAATGCATTCGGAGATCTACGTTAGCTAGAATCCAGGTATGTTGACTCAAATAGTGAACATTTTAAATTAGCATATATACATAGTATACTCGTTAGAGTTCTCTAGGGGGAATGGAATCAAAACAAAATATATGCATAATTATGTAAGGAGATATATTAGGTAGGTTTATAGGATCAGAGATAGAAGAATTAACAATGGCCAACTGCATGCTGGACAGCAAGAGGATCCAGCAGCTTCTCAGCCCAAGATGATGAAAGCTCCAGGGCAAAAGGGATTGAGGATATAGCACCAGTCCAAAGACCAAAGGCCTGGAAATTCTCTGTAGAGTTACAACTATGAGTCTGTATTGAAGGGCTGAGGAAAATGTAGACCAGTGTCCAAAGTGACTGGAAAGACTAGAACCCTTCAGAAGCAGGCATATTTCCTCTTTCCCCTTTTTTATTTCATCCAAGCTACAAGTCTACTGCTTGGTGCCACTATATCTGGGTTGAGCCTCTCAGTTTGCTGGGCTCTGTTTCTGTCAACCACAGACACACCCAAAACTGCACTCCACTAATCTACTAGGTGTTTCTTAATCCATTAAGTTGATGTGTTGTGATTTACAGCCATTTTTGTAATGCTCAGGCCCCAGCTAAGCCAATCTAAATTTTGTCTCAGTGTGAAAGGAATCGTATCCTCAGTGTGAGGATAGATTAGTAAAAGTCTGAGAAGTACTTCTTAATCTCACTATTAGTTCATGAAGGTATGGGAGCAAAACATAATAAAAAATTCTGGAAAGACATAGGTTCTAATGTCTATGTACTAATATAATTGGCCTTATATAAATTAAAAACTCTTAGTCACTACTTTCTTATCTGTAAAATGGTGATAAAATAATCAATGTTAATGAGATATTCTGAGGATTCAGTGAGGTCTTAATTCCTTAGCTATGTCAGACATACAGTAGATGCTCCATAAATTTTACCTTTCCTCCTTAACTGCCCCCCAATAACCTATCTTCCCTTTCTTGTTTTTTTTTTTCTGTTCCCTTTCCCTGCATCTCTTACACACTTTCTTTAGTCTCCTCTTACTTTCTACCTCTTTCCCTAAGCTTTGTGTTCTGTCTGTTCACACCTATTTTTTCTGTCATATTCTGACATAGAATTAAGAACCATTTAAAAAATGGGTGTTCCTTTAAAATGCTAAATTTGTAGTGATTTTCTAGGCACCAACAGACCATGAATTTATACATAATTCTAAGAATCCTGGATCTGATCATGAAGAGCTTTCTTGTGCATGCTAAATTATACCCAAAATAAAGGGAGACTGTAGGATTATGACACAAAGTGAGAAGTGACTTTCTCCCTAAATAGACCAGACTCCAACATGAGCTCCTGTGTCAGTGGTTGTCACAGAAAAGATATATAAGGGGAAATAAGCATAACACTTGGAGTTAGTGGGTCTGGATTTCAAGTTCTACTTCATACTTATGTTACTTTGGGCTTCTTTTTAATTTGGCTGTTGTCTAGTTGACTTGTTGTACACTGGAAATAAGAGTATATGTATCAGGGACCTATAAGAAAGATTATGTGAAAGGGTGAGTGTAGAGGAGCTGTGTGAAATGTGAGACCCCCAACAACTCAGTTGCCTGTAGAACTAGACAAGTAGCAGAATGCTGAACCTGAGCCACAAGTCTGGCCTCCAGGAATGGTCATTAGGGTGTGCAAAATTAATAAAGTGACCCTCAGTAATCATATCCCTGTGTAATCCCTTACTTTCACCAAAAATGTTGGAGAAAGCCTGTCTTACAATATGCTATGAGAGATTTATGTACTTGGACATATAATTTAGGACTATTTTCTAAGATAAACAATGGCATGTGCTTTTTTTTCCCTTTTGCATTTGCTTGGTCAACTTGATTTGACTTGATAGAACTTTTTTAAACTGTTACTAGTCATTAATATTTTGTTTTTTAAATGTAGCCGTTAAAATTTGATAGCATTATTTATCTTCAAAAATAGAAACCTTTTTGGA